ACGGCCTAGAATTTAAAATCCCTTCTATTTGAACCATTATAGTATACAATTCCTCATAAGTAAAACATTTGTCACCTACGACACGTTTTAAATGATACTTTACACTTTTAATTCCTGCTTCCCAGATTCCCGCAAAATTCGGTGAATATGCAGGTACAAACTTAAATTGAACGCCAAGCGATGACGTATAATTTTGAACACATGTTTGATGCTCAACAGAATTTTTTAACTTATACAGATCATTTAATTGGTTGTTTGCCCCATGGAAAGTCGCAGCATTATCAGAATATATTATAGAAGGCATGTTGCGTCTAGATATAAATCTTTTTAAGGCAGCTAGAAATGCTTCTGTGGTCATGTCAGATACAAGTTCAACATGGACAGCTTTAGTCGAAAAGCATATAAATAATACAATATAACCTTTTGAAATTAAAACCTTTCTTACACGTGACTGCTTTATTTGAAATGGGCCCCCATAATCGACACCAACTATCTCAAATGGACGGGTTGCTGTGACTCTCTGTTGTGGCAAAGAACCCATCAACTGTGAAGCTTGTTTAGCCTTAAGTCTAAAACATACAACACACTTATGTATTACAGATTTAATTTCTCTTAAACCATTGATCAGCCAATACTTTTGGTTTAAATAACTTAATATAAGTTTAGGCCCTGCATGTAACAGCTGAACATGGGCATCATAAATTATTAATTTTGTTATATATGACCCTTTCGGCAATATTATTGGATGCTTTTGAGAATAGGGTATAGATGCATTTTCTAATCTACCACCAACACGAAGTATTTTCGTTTGATCTAGAAATGGATTCAATTGTAACAAATTACCTTTTACTGGCTGATCCTTTGCTAATCTATGAATTTCATTATTAAAATATTGCCTTTGTTCACATTTAACAATTACTAAAGTAGCATCATTAATTTCCTTGGCATTTATTACACCATTGTGTCTTTCATTTTTAGGCAATTTACAATTTTTATAAAATCTATATACATATGCAACTACTCTTTGGAGTTTTAAAAAAGATGAATATCTATACAATAAATTTTTTATGAAATTTTTATCATATGAATCAATTGTAAACAAACATACATTTTTAATTTCAGGTAATTTTTCAACTAATTTGACAAAGTCATTAGAATGTTCATAATCTTTATCATGCATAATTTGTGGTCCATGCCACCAGAGAATATTTTCTTTCAGCATATCAGGATCTAATCCCCTAGAAATACAATCTGCTGGATTAGACTGTGTATTAATATAATGCCAAGAATAGTTTTTACAGGAATCTCTTATAGATTTAACTCTATTAGCCACATATACAGATAACCGTACAGGTTCTATTTTCAACCAAGACAACACTATTTGTGAATCTGAATACAAGTAAACATTCATAACTTTCTTATCAAATTTTAAACATATACATTTATAAACCTTTTTTATTAAAATAGAGAGCAAGAGTGCACTATTAAGCTCAAGCCTAGGTGTTGAAAGTTGTTTACCAATGGGACTGACTCGAGATTTTGAACATAACAAGTTCATACAAACAGTACCATCTTCTTTTACAATTCTTATATATATACAACATCCATATGCATTATTTGATGCATCAGCAAACCCTACTATTTCAATCTTAACAAACTTAGAAACACTAATGTTTCTTGGAATAGAAATATATGACATGTTAATTAAACCTAAAGCAAATTTTTTCCATTTATGATTTAAATCAAAGGAAAGTGGAACATCCCAATTAATATTAGCCTTCCAAAGCTCTTGCAAAAATAATTTTGCTTTAATTAATATAGGACCCAGTATTCCCAAAGGGTCAAAAAACTTACTAATAAAACTTAAAATCTCTCTCTTAGTATAAACTTCCAAAAACTTTTGTTCTGGACAAGTAATATCAATATTGTCTGTTTTAATATTGTAATGTAAGCCTAACGTTTTAACAGACATATCATCAAATGCTAAATCAATATTTTCTAGCTGCTGCCTTTCAGCAGGGATATCAGCCAGCACTTGCGGTGCATTCGAACACCATTTATGTAATTCAAAACCTCCTAATCTTAATAAATCTATTAGTTCATATTTTAATTGACTCAATTCATCAACATCATTAGAAGTAAAATTTACATCATCAACATACGTGTTATTTTTGAGTGCAGATGCTGCTAATTTATATTTATCACTAAATCGGTTAGCTAACTCTAAAAGACATCGAGTTGCTAAATAAGAAGAAGTTTTTAAACCATATGTAACAGTTTGAAGCTGAAGGCATTCAACAGGATCATTAGGCGACTCTCGCCATAAAATATTTTGAAATTTGCAATCTTTTTTATTTAAATTTACATTTCTAAACATTTGTTTTATATCACAAATAAGAATGTGTTTACCTAACCTAAACTGTATCAATATATCAAATAAATCACTTTGTACTATGGGACCATTGAGTAACATATCATTTAATGAAATTTTGTTTTTTGTCAGCATGCTACCATCAAACACTACCCTTAATTTGGTAGTTTTGGAATTTTCATTAAAAACTGGATGGTGCGGTAGAAAATAAACATCTCCCCTTTTAAGGTCATATTCAGATATATTAATTACTTTTGCATGCCCCTGCTTAATATAATCATTTATAAATAATTTGTATTTTTCAAACAAAACTGGATCTTTAGAAAACCTTTTTTCTAAATTATAAAATCTTTGCAATGCACAAGATAAAGAATCACCTAAATTAATTTCCTCTGCAGGCAATTTAAATGGCAAGGAGACTTCAAATTTATTATTATTTAATTTACAAGTTTCATTAAAATATTTCTCCGCCAATTCCTGTTCAGAAGTTGATTCAAAAAAGGTTTCATTGACATTTTCGCATTGCCAAAATTGTTTTAACTGTTGATGAATAGAGTCTTTACAGTAACCACATGGCTCTTTCTTTTCAGTATCATTAGACTTAAAATTTAAATTAACAAAATTACAATATAATTCATCTTGCCTCAGGGCCTTACCCACAACAGCTCCTCCCACTACATAACCTAATTTGGTATTTATTAGGTATGGGCCGCTAGGTGACAGTGGTATGCGCTCCCTCAGCAACACCTTAAAAAATACATCACAAGCTAAAAGCATTTGTACCTGTGCTGGTGAATGAAAACTTGTATCAGCAAGTTGCACATAAGGTGGAATATTCATGTGGGATATGTCTATGTTATGATGAGGCAAGGTGCATGAAATCTTCTCCACAACAGAGCAAGTGACAGGCAAAGCAAAGTTAGACTTGGTGCAAGCATGTATTTTAAAGTGAGCGAGTGCATTTAAATTATTTGTGCCTTCACAAACACCCACTACTGTATGTGACTCAAAAGTAGTCAAGCATTTTATTTGGTTAGCCACTTCTTTAGTGACCATAGAAACCTCACTTCCAGAATCTAAGACTGCCCGCACAAACATAAAAGAACCATCCTGTTTACACAATTTTACTATAGCAGTTGGTAAGAGAACACTTTTATTTTTAATACTATTGAAAAGTGATACCTTTTTATTTTCAGCAGTTTCAGGATATTGAGCTGTTGAATTAATATTATCAATATGCAACAAAGTATTATGATCACCCTTGCATTTAGCACAACGAAAGCCAAAATAGCATTTTTTTGTATGGTTATTTAAACACAGTTTACACCTATTTGTTCTTTCTATGAACTGTATTCTCTGTTTGACAGAGCTAGTTTTAAATTTCCCACAATTATAAATTTTATGAGAATCTGACTGACAATACTCACATGATGATTTGTTTGTAAGCAAGCTTACACGTTGAGGTCTGCTAGCTGTAGCTCCAGACATCCTTTCTTGCCCTGTAGTGGCCTCTAAAGCAATAGCCTTATTTTCTAAAAATAATATTAAATCAGATAATTTATATGGCTTATCCCTATTTATCTGTTCCATATAAAAAGATCGTACTGTGTACTGGTCTATTTTTTTTGTTAATATACATATTAAAACCATGTCCCAACTGGAAACAGGCTGGTCTAAACTCTCTAGTGCACTCAAATTCTGTTTGACATCAGCAATTAAGTTTCTTAACGCTAGAGCTGTACATTTTGTAATTGGCACTATATCTAATAATTTATTTACATGATCAATAACAATTTTATTTTTATTGTCATATCGTTCTACAATCAGGTTCAATGACCTTTCATAATTCTCATCTAAGAGCGGTAAATTTTTAATAATATCTAGAGGCTCACCTCTGAGAAAACTACGTAAGTAATACAACTTTTGTGTATTATTTAGACTTGCATTTTTGTCGATAAGCGACCTAAATAAATTCAAAAACGGATAAAATTCTTCACTTTTACCTGTGAAGGTTTGAATTTCAATTTTAGGTAAATTGACATGGTGCTCGTTGCTTACTGATGGTGATGATGACAATGCAGACTGATTACTATTTAACGTTGTTAACGCAGATTGCAAGTTAGACAATGCAAGTAAATATTTGTCTTCATAATCATCGAAATCTGCATCGCCTCGTTTTTGAGATAACGTTTTAAAATGGTTATCAGTATATTTTTCGAACGTATTTTTTAAGTAACTAATTTTTATTTCTAATAAACTGGATGTTACCTTTTCTCCAATGTTAGATGCAAAATTATAAATTTTAGTTATCGAAGCCTTTAGTTGACTTCGAGCAGCCACCAATTCCTCTATGTTATCCATTCTTAAAACTATATACAACTACACAAATCCAATATTTATACAAATTTAAGAGTTTCTACAAAATAAATTTTCACAAAAATGGCTTCTTTTTGTTAGTCACACAACACAGCACAGAAAAATGGCGCGACGACGCTACACCGGCTTGACGTTCTGTTCCGGACGAGAAGACTTGCGCAGTGCAGCAAACGTCCACAGCGCAAGCGCGAAAACGTGTTTCGCCCAATCAGCGCACACAGCCGCTGACGCACTTTGTTGTAACAGCCAATAGCCAAGCTCGACGCCGACTAACTTGGAAATGGCTCCCCGCGAACAAACTTTTAAAGGACGCGGCGCCAACTCAAAATGGCGATGATGGAACCAATTTATTTCTTCACTAGTGAAGCAATATCTTCTTTGTTTTTGCCCAATGATGGACCATTTATTGTATTCCAAACGAAGTACTATTTCTTATGTTCCAAACGAAGGACCATTTCTTATGTTGTGTGCGACGCTCAATGTTAATTTATTATCATCCATAGGTCGTTTCTTGAGTCCACTAATTATAAAATAAAAACATCGCACTTGTAAACATAAGAAAGAATTTATTATTTACACACCTTGTGTACATTATATTAATTTATAATTTGTAATATTTAGCCTTTAAGACTACTTAATAATAATTAATTTAATATTTGTGGCTATAGCCCACACGCGTCTCAAAATCAAGAAGTTCGAGAAGACCGCCAAAAACGGCAAAACTTTTTAAATCAATTTTTTGCTATGCAAAGGAATTTGTGTTCATTCTGCTTTGAACACCTACGATATCTTTCTGACAAAAATATACCTAATTATCGTTTAATTATTTAGGTGAACGTTATGTTTTTCTTTAATTAAATAGGTAGGTACCTAATAGTAAGTTAATAAGACCTTAGAGTATTTTGTGCTCTAAAGTTAGGTGCATCAGTCAATCCTGAAGGCCGGCTTGAAATTTCGTCTGGATTAAAAGAATGATGATCTATAATTATTATAGATAAAATTTTCTTGGTTACATTTCTAAATAGTTTTAATACCTACATCAGAGAATTTAATCAAGGAACAAAGAAAAAATCATATTGACTTCATATTATGTTTCTAGGTAAAAATGAAGCTACTAGCAACCATTATCTTGTTGATATATTTGCATGGAGTAACCTCTGAGGAGTTAGCGTACTCCACCAAATATGATGGAGTGGACCTCAACGAGGTCCTATCGAATGACCGTCTAACTACCGGCTACATCAACTGCCTTCTCGACAACGGGCCCTGCAGTCCAGAAGCCAAGGAACTTAAGAGTCAGTGATATTATTTGTTATAGGATTTTAACAAAGAAAATGATCTCAGAATTGTGATACGTAATATGTATTTATAGACGACTTTTTATTTAATTTGTTAATAGAAAGAAAAGAAAATAAAGAGTATATGTAAGCAAATAAAGCTTTCACCAAATAGAAATAAGGAATATTATCTCCCTTTCAAAATGAAATTATTCTACATCAAAAGATTTATCAAAAGTACAATTTGAATCTTCACAGATCAAGTAAAACGTAACAATAATAGCCTATTGCTCATATTTGTAAATGAGACAAATATTTTGTCTAATAATTTTGTGAAGAAATTAACTAATAATTTGCAAATGCCGATAGTTTTAATAAAAACATATTTCCACAACATAATCATTTTGTAAATAGTAATCTTATTCAAAATCTACGAGCATTGCTCGAATATCAAAAGAATTGATTCAATTGCAATGGAATGAAATCAGGAAACTACTACAACATCCTGTTTGATTTTGTCTGGCTACATAAGTCATAATATTAGACATCACATACCTTACTCAGATCTCATCTCATATTAAGTAGCTAAAGCACTTATATTACGAAAATCTTAAACGACGAAGGTAACATCATCAACATCCAAATCCAAGACAATATAGAAAAGTTAATTCTACGTTGACAATATCGGGAATCAAACCTGAGACCTCAGAGAATTTTTCTCTGTCTTATTATTGGCACGTTCCTCTTGTTCTTTTACAGAAAACCTTCCAGATGCCATACAAAATGATTGTATGAAGTGTAGCAGTAGACAACGCGAGGGCGCAGACCAAGTGTTGGATTTTATAATCGATCACCGACCCGAAGATTGGGAAAAACTCGAAAAAATGTAAGAAAAAATTTAAAAGCGATAAAGTAAGACTAGAGTCCATAATGTTTTTCATATAAAAAATGATATTACTAAAATTGGTTAGGAATAGCGTTATTTACTAACGTTAGTTAGTAATAATTATTTTCAATTATCAAATCACGTGAGAAAGTTTTCACATTATCTTTAAAGACACTACTACATTTTTTTTATTGCAATTAGCGAAATTTTAAAATTGACTTTTAAGCTTACTTAGTTAAAATGACGTCCATATTTTTTTATTCTACCTTTTTACACAAAAGTAGACTAAAATAATAATTGCCTTTTCCATATGTATTTTGTGGGTATTTTACTTCTAAATTCCATCAGAACACAGGAAAGTGTGCTTACGTTTAGTTTATTTGACTATGTGTTTTACAGGTATAACTCCGATGGAAGTTATAAAAAGAAATATCTGGCAAGGAAACAAAAGGAATCCCGTATAAAAACTGCAGAAGCAAATAAAAAAACTGATGAGAATGTACTTGATCAAAATGATATCGACGTTTAAATTTCATAAGACATTGTTTCATTTATCCAGTAACTATTTCAGAATAAAATAATTCCACAAATAAAACCAGATAAGAGTATAATATTTTTTATTATTAACTTAAACATACTATAAATATATCATAAAACTACTTAAATTTTAAGGTATTTTTTCGGCGGCATATCTTTTTACTCTAACTTTGATTCCGGACATACCGTATTGATATTTAGAACTTACAATTTCTGGTTCTCCTACTAGTTTCAGTTTTGGATTTTCTGTCTTTAAAGGTTCCTTTTGTGGCCTATTGTGTAATGTGCACCTACAACAGGCAATTCGATAATACGTGGTTACAACTATATAAACGTTTTAATTTAAAAATCTACCCAAAATTATTATAATCATGGGAATATTTCTAAATACAAAATCTCTTTCTTCTTCTGCCATTAGGGTCTATCCTAATATCTTCTGAACTCGTGATAAGCCGTTGTACCTAGTCAGAAAGAGTTTCCATGCGACAGGATCATGAGCCATCATAGAAGCAGCTACTTTACCGGCATTCTCCTTTTCATCATTTGAACATTTAACGCAGTCATCTTTCAGAGCTTGAATTAAAACTCCTGTGAAAAAATCCTTAAGTTATAACTTTGGCACACACACAGCCTTTTTTTATTAAAAAAATAGGTTTTGCATAATTTGATAACCGATTATTGATGTGCGATACCTACTAATAATTTATACTATATAACGAAAATAATTTATCGATAGTGATTTAATGACGCAGTTAGGACAAAAGCAAACTTGTATCTACTGAAAAGTTAAAGTAACTGACTTTAAAGTATTAAGCTATAAACAATACTACACGTTATAATCTTGATTTTACGACCTTCGTGGCCCATTGGCATATACGCAGATTTAAAGGTGTGTCTTTTTCTAAGCTCCTGGGTACGATTCCCGGTCGAGTCATTGTAAAAAATTAACTTTTCTATATTTTCTCGGATCTGGGTGTTATGGTACCCTCATTTTTTTCTGATTTCTGTATAAGTGCCAAAAATCTGATCAATGCATATTATTTTTAATAGGTTATTATTATTTTTTATGGTTTCTTCAAAAAGTATAATGCAAATTCAACTTTACCCTTAACTTGACGCATCTCACTTGAGCAATAACGATCAACAGACATTAAACATTTAACGTCTTCTGCAGGCAAAGGCCTAATAGCCTCATGTAGATTCATCTTCTCTTGTAGAGGATTATTTTTCTCTAAGTCACTGACTACTTCGTTAAGTACTGTCAAATCTTCGTCGCCATATACAATTTTGTATCCTTTACTCTCTACTTGTTCACTCATTTCCCTATGAATACCTGGAATGGTTTCTTCTGAAGCCGCAAAAGTAAGAACTGTCATTAAAATCACTGTGTCTACGAACATTGTGATAGATCAGTTATGTTCCACGTTCAAAATTCAAGTGTTAGCTACAATGGCACTATTGGTGATTCGGGCCTTGTGATGCAATGCTCTGAGATGCGTGAGTTGCAAGCGATTTGTGTTGTACTTGAAGATATGTAAGTTTACAAACAATTCGATAAGGGGTGACTGTTGTAGGAATTGTGTTTCCCCCTTTTAACATTTTGAATAATCCACCTATTTGATACAGAAAGGTTTGTATACTAAGATAATCCTATAACTGAATTATGAAAATTTTATTAAGATTTTCTTTTTTTGTTTTATAAATATTTCTGAGAATCCAAATTGGGATAATGTGTGGGGAACAACAAGTAAAAATGGATTATTAACGCTGTGAAAGAAGAAATAGATTATGGTTATTACTGAAACAAGACACAACATTTACGAAAGTAAAGAATGTTGACAGAAATATAGAACGAAGAACACAACATTGAAATCCGAAAGAAAATACAACACATCAATTTAACCCCAAAATATATGAATATTATTTCGTTTCTTTTTTATCGACGAAATATTGAAATATCAAATTATTTCGTTTCTTTTTTATCATGCACCATCCTTGATGTTGATTTGTTTACAATATTCAGGACGCGTTCGTACTTATCAACCAGTATGTAACATTTGTTAATAAACAACCTTCGCTCAGTGACATTTAAATGATCTAGAAACTATCTAATTGTTGACGTTTTAATGATATTTGGGGAAATAAAAGGAAAACATTATTTATTCAAATAATCTTATGGAGAGTAAAAATTTTCATATTTCTTGTTGTAAGCACTTTTGAATCTTCCAATATTTTTGTGCCAACCATACGTTCAAGAAAACCGGATGGCATTATTTTTAATAATCTAATTAGCAAACCTGGATATTCAAGAAAGGGTAGTTCGATCCCTTAAAAAATAGTAATATAAATACTTATAAATGTTCCCGATTATTCGAGTTTACGTTTTTCATTTCACATTAAGAATCGAACATGTCAGCTAAGTACAAAAAGTATGTGGAAGGTAGACCACCTTTTATGTTTTTAATTTAATTTTACGTGAAGCATAACAATCAGATTTACTATGAATGATAGATACTAAAGTGTTTAAAAGTAGTTCTATGAAACACGTGTAACAAATGACGCCTGCTGCTCTACTTACTACTATTCATTGAGTTTCCTTTGTGGATTCTATTTGGCAGGCGGCCATAATTATATGATTACTAGCTGACCCGACAGACTTCGTCCTGTCAAAAAGATTTGTAATGTGGCAGTTTTTTTGCCTACGTATTTAAAAAAATTCTCCTGAACAGAACCGTCACCCTGGTGATAGGGCGTTGTGAATAAAACATAATTAAATAAAACATATATAAGGATTTAAAAGTAAGTAATCGCTTTATTGTTAATCATGTGAATCATAATTATTATTGCAATGTATTAATAGTAATAGTATTAAATATAGAAAAAAGAGATTTTTATGATCATAAAAACACATTACACACAACAGCATTATAAAAGTAAACTATTCGAATTAAAAAAATATATAAACATTCTCAAGGAAAAATGCTGGAAGAATCCATCTACCTGTACCCCGGAATGGGACTCGAACCCATTCGCGATCCAGGGACTGCTCTAACCAATGAGCTATCTAGGACCCAACAGCTTTGCTATTACAGAGCGTATTTTCATCAATGTTCCGGCAATACATGTAATGACGTGGAAACTGATGCATTTTATCTCGCGTGCCGAAACTAATACAAAAGAAACGCGAGTTTCGGAACGCGACATTAAACTCCTCCAACTATGTATTCTGTGCTCCAACGCACACACGCACATTGTTTTGATAGATATGATCTTTGACGTTAGGAACACACCTACATTGCTTAGACAACAGTGAGTGCTTGTAATTTAATATGAACTTTATACCATAACAATAAAGCTCAAATTGACTACGTTTTAGTTACAAATCATTTGTATGGGAAAAAGAAAAGGGCTATTTTTAGGGTTTTTCCAGCAATAATTCTAATTTTTCTCGCCGTAAAAACCATTCTTGAACTTCAACGAACATTTTAAAAAAAGATTTGGCCAAATTGGTCGAGGCGTTGTTGAGTTATGCGCTTATCAACACATTTTGCGATTCATTTTTATATATATAGATTTCCATCGGATAGAGCACAAAAGTTGTTATTAAGAGTGTGTGTGCTGAATTCCCTATTGTGGGTGTGCCCAAGGATGAATATTAGATACCTTTCGCTTTCTAATTTACAATTGTGACCTTTCTAACTAATTAAAAATTTGTATGACATAGTGGCCGGTGTGTGTCGGCTTAGAATAGCACCACCCCCTTTCGTACCGTGGGTATTAAGGGAATCAACCAAAGGGATTTACTCCCGAATAAGCTGGGTTCCGAAAACTCTATAGTACCGTGGACCACATTTATATGCTGCGGCAAGTTATACAGAATAACCGATCAATTTGCTTGGCGTTCGTGGACTACGAGAAAGTCTTTGATTCGATCGAGAGATGATGCCGTCTCTCCGAAAGTGCCCAAAAGGACTACAGGTACGACAGGTATAAGAATGCTACTATGTCGGTCCGATTACAAAACCAGAACTTTAATCCTATCCAACTGCAGCAAGGCGTAAGGAATTGGAGGATATTTTAAAGCTTCTGGATTGGAAAGGATACGGCATCAATATTTATGGCGAGTGTCTTATAGATGTGTAAGATACTTTACTGATTATGTAGACCTAATGGCTGAGACCTTGGAAGACCTCAACACCATGCTTGACGAAGTCAGTAGTGCATCCCAAAGAGTGGGTCTGAAGATGAACATGGATAACATGAAAATAATGTCAAATGCCCATGTTGTACCCACAGTTAAAATTAGAAGTACTACTCGTGGTCGTTTACTATGATATAATAAATTATCACAAAATATTACTACTACGTCTGTCTAAATGAATTTGAATAAACTTTCGACCCATGTAATATAAAGTAACAGCTAAAATATTCTTAAAAAATTAAGGATCATTCATATAAGCGCCTTTTTTATTTTTCTAAGAAAGTAATACTCAATTTACGTATTGCATGTAGATAGATTATAGGCAAAAAATAACATTGCTTTTTACAAGCTTTCACTGCCATCTAAAAAAGCACCACATTTTACCAATATTTATTTTTACTTTTACTTTTTATAAAAATTTTGTGTCACGATGTATGTTGCCAATAAACTCCAAAACTACTGAACCGATTTCTATCTAACTTACTGGATAGGATAGTTATCATCTCAATAATTCGCTTATGTCGTGCGTGAATGTAAACAAATAAAATATTCTAATTGTTTCTTAAGCAAGTGTTTATTTTCTGTTTAGTTTTGTGAAGTTCTCATAGATGGCGGTGTACGTTGATTCATAGATAAAATTCTTCAATATCGTTTGACATCTAGGTTGCAAATACACCCAATAGATGGCGCTGTGTTCTAGATGGCGTTTATTCTAAAGTAATCTGCGGTAACGTTTCTTTCAAAGAATTTTGCGTAGATTACGTTTTCGATTAAGTTTTGTGTAAACTTCAGAACTGTTTTTTTCATCTTTATTTCAAATTGCATTGAATTAGATTAATATCTCTAAAGTTTAAAGATAAAGTGCTGAAACATATTGGACATTCGTTGGTATTTTGTTGTACTATCTTCGAACGAATCAAGGCAATTTCATCATCAGCTCAAAAAACAACAGCGTTTTTGGAAAATATGATGCCCAAAGTAACTATATCACGCGGACGAAGTCGCGGGCAAAAGCTAGTTACTATATAATCAAAAACACAAACTAATTTCTCTACACTTTATTATTAAATAAAAAATAACATCTTATTAAAATACTAAAATATATCACTTTTTAAGTAAATCTTCCATTATCTTTGACACTAAAGACATATCGTATTTACTTCGAGAATTTTTCGCAAATATTCCCAATAACGCTTTCAACACCTTCGTTTTTCCATCCTTATATTGTTTAACCATTTTTGGATTTTCATCTACAACTTCTTTACACATTTTACTTATTTTTTCAGCATCTGTCACTAAAGACCAAGCTCTTTGCTTTATCAGCGATACAACTGACATTTTTTCATCAGTAGATCTAACTAATTCATTCAATATATTACGGCAAACTTCTAGATTGATGTCTTTCGATAAAACTAAATCCACTAATTCAATCATTTGCTTGTTAGTAATGTTACAATCTTCTAGGTCAACTTTATTTTTATTGAGAACAGTTAATAGATCATTTATCAATAAATTTGCCACTTTGATTGGATTTCTTGCATTATTTTCAGTTAAAGCTTTAAAGTATTCTAATAACAGAGGTTCATTAACAAGTTGTACTGCAGTTTCCGGTCTTAGATGGGATTTTTCGATGAGATTTCTCCTGGTCTCTTCTGGTAATTCTGGTATTCGTTCTTGTATAAGTGGTACGCTAAGAACATCACGGCTGTCTTCTCTTGTTTTGAGATTGACTCTCAAAGGTGGTAAATTTGGTTCTGGCATATATCTGAAAGTAATACCATTTCAATTACATGTATTATTATAGTTTAATGGCAAACAAAACCTTTGGAAATAACAATTAGTAAAACTCGAATTTGTGTGCTGTATTTTTTACTTATCAATGAAAATGTCAATAAGCGTTTAGAGATTTCATAACATAAAATCAAATACTAGTATATTTTTTAAGTTTCTGATTAAAACATGAAATTTGCAGTAATTTCAGAGCAAATTTATTATGATAAGCAAACTCTGAAAAGTAGATATTCTGTCTCATATTTACCTGTAATCTTGGACAACCTCCTTGTCTCGCATGGCAATAGTGACCCTGTTGGCAGCATCCCATGATCTTGTCTCGTTTATGATACAACCACCGGTCTCAAGGATTTTACGTTGACGATCGATTTCGTATCGAATTGCTCCGGCGACGCCTCTCACTGACCCAATATTCTTTATCTGAAATTAAGAAACAATTAAGAAATAGTATGTAAATTACTTCATATACTCGTATCAATCTTGTAACTATTACATAATGTTGTAAGTTGACATTCTATACATGTAAATCACTTGCCACGTAAGCCCATACTACATAAAAAACTAAGAATAATTTGTATTATTCAACTAGAATATTATAGACTTGATTAAGACTAGAAAGCATATCATGGAACAAAAAATATGTGTATGTGTAATAGATATATGTTGTAATTGTACATATATGTAGGTATGCATATGTCATCACTTTCTTTTAGTATTATATCCCTACATATAATTATATAAATATTATATTAGTCCAAAAGAAATCATCTTTCTATGAATTAAACTAATTCTACCAACCTCAGTCCTTGTTGCCAAAGGCGCTCCAGGGCGACGCAATGACACATTAGCGTCAACACGGAGAGCACCCTCTTCCATGCGACCAGAACAAGTGCCTAATCTCTGCACTACCAACAATAGCTCCTTCACCAGCGCCGCTGCTTCCTCCCCGTCCTTTAAATTAATAAAATAACATTCTAAAATAAAAGATGTCATATTTTTTAAGCTAAATTAACCTTAAACGGGTGATTTTTTATAATTTTGCTTTGAAATATGTTAAAATAGCATTGTAAGTGCAAAATTTATCAAATATATAGAAATACACTCATTATGCAGATTACATACTCGAACTTGATGATTCTATCACATGTGCTACTGTACAAACCCTTCCATATTATGAGGAGTTAAAAAAAATACAGCACCATTTTGTGGAAGGGAACATTTTTCATTTATAATAATATTAAATATACAAAAATTTTATTATCAGAACACAAAGTATCAAATTTCATGTTACTATATCAATAAGAATAAGATGTTCAGAACAATTTATGTGATACTTATTAATTTGCACTTAGAATAATTAAAATATTTAATTGATATTGGAGCCTAGATAATAGAAATAATAATTAAGACTTTAAAAAATATTTATTAGACAACATCACATACATTGCACAGATTTCAAGATGAGTAGCTAAAGCGTAAATCTAAAGCGTGTCTGAGACAACATAGGTAACACAACACCCAGATCTGAGACAATATAAAAATGTCTATTTTCTACATTGACCAAACCAAGAATCAAATTCAGGACCTTAGAGATGGCAAGCCTTGAAACCAGCATGGAAACCACTCAGCTACAGTGGTATACCCCTACTAAATAGAACAACTTTATACAATGTTTCCCTACTTAATGAAACAACTACACTATGTGACATTAAATATATTAGTCTTAATATATTAATTACTCACTTCCAAGTCTGGTTCAAAGACCAACTCAATAAGCGGGGCACCTGCTCTATTAAGATCCACAAGGCTACGCTTAAGCTCTTCATCGTGCAGAGACTTGCCGCTGTCTTGCTCCAATTGAATTTGTTTTATCTTTGAACTCTTTTTATAAGGCTTTTTGTGGATACCAGGTGTATATACCTGTGAACAAAGACAAAATAGAATTACTTAACTATTCCTTCTTAGTTGTTAAGTTCTTTGAGTACTCCTAATATTATTCATTTAAAATTGTTATTGACCTTTGTCATTTAAATTAAGGTTTGCAACTTCTGAATACCTAAAATTGAATCAACACGCTAGAATCGAAAATAAGTTTTAAATATTGTTTTGAATTACCTCACCAAGGGCTTTATTTGAATAATTAAAATTACCCATTGAACTATCGCATTTATTATTATATTATACAAATGTGTCTGTTGATTTTGAAATACAGTAGCATGATAGTTTACCACAACTAATAAAAAATCAACCAATTTTTTACTTAACAACCAATTCAGAATTGGTTTTCTTGTATTTTATAATATACCTGAAAGTTAATAATGCCGTCACTGGCTAAGGGCGCTCTTTGCTGTGTTATTTGATATCCCGCAGGTAAATCGGCATAAAAATAATGTTTTCTATCAAAAGTTGACACTTCATTAATCTTACAAGACAACGCTAACGCGGTCATTATACCGAATTCGACGCATTTTCTATTTAGTACAGGTAAAGTTCCTGGTATAGCAGCGTCGAATAACGATACACAATTGTTCACAACACCACCGAATGTATTTTGTGCACCGGAGAACAGTTTTGATTTAGTATTTAGTTGTGCATGAACTTCTAATCCGACAACACTTTGCCACTTCTTCTCGACGCTTGTGGAAACACAGCGAAAGGTCACCGCTCTTTTTCTAATGAATTTATAAAGGTTATCTTTCATAGATCTCATATTATAATTAATTTTTATTATTGACGTTGCCCTTATGGATTTCACCAGAATTCAGTGTTTCTTCTTCTTCTTTTTTAATTCATGGCCTATTTGCATTTACACAATTATGTCGATCGACAAATTGACAACTGGCAGTGACAATTCACAGCTGATTTTGATTGACAAATCATAAAACGTTTAGAAACAAGAAGTACGCACAAAAAAGGTCAGTTGCTTTAAAAATCAAAATATGAAAGATAATAACTGATCATAATCCGTATGATGTATTAAGTGAATGGTGGCTCAAGGAAAATACTATAAAAACAACCAACAATTCAAAGATACTGTCTTCGATAACTAGGTGTATTTCACAACTCGGTAACATTCCACGTAATACAACTCGCTATAAAAGTTTAGAAGCTGCCACTAGATGGCGCTGTTGGCCAGCGCTAAATACTAACGCCCTTAAATCCATTAATTTATGTTAGAAATAATTCAAACTTTCTATGATAAAGTATTTATCACGCTTACTTCATGGAATTAAACAAACATTTACACAATAGCATTCGGTATTTAAATATTTTTGTCTCAACATTTTCGGAAAGTCGTCACTCACAAGCCCACAAATAACGGGCCAATATAACCATAATTCATGATACATAATCATGTTATCCAAAATATGACATAACTAAACTTAAATTTAACTATTTCGTGCGATAGTATAGTCATACTAGCCATTCGGCTATTACAGGTACAACCTACTCATATTGCAGCCTTAATATTTCACGTCTTAGTTGCATAAGTTCTATGGGTTTGCAACAGTAAGAATTATTAATGCTTCTTCTGCTTATCCAATTAAACAGAATCGGCGTATAATATGGTCATGAACTTGCATTTTTCACAATAGCATAAAATTTTATAGAATATAACAGCACTTTATTGTTAACATCACGGATACAGAAATATATACACGAATATTAATAATACAGGGTAACAATTGACGGTTTTATCGCTTAGAGCTATCTCTACCAGACAATCTTTGGAAGGAGAGAATTAAATGACAATCAGAAAACGCACCCTGCAAACTAAAATAAGTATGTAGATATTAATTCATAAATAATTTAATAATAATTACATATGCTACATATTACTGATAAAACTATATTTACATAAATAGCAAAAAAAAATAAAAAACCTAAAATATATCTTTATAATGTCAACCAGATAAACTTTTATGTTTATTATGAACGAAAAAGTAGTTACGAGCCATTTTATTATTTATTACCTTTTGTGCTAAAATATTTTATTTATTTATATAGATATTTTATTTAGATTTTTGCACGAATAAAATACCTACACATCAATACATCATGTTACAGCAAAATTATTTTTTAGATCTAGGTAAATAATTATATTGATTATGAACTGTTTGGGGTTTAAAATTGATAGGAATTATATTCAATTTTGTATAACTTAACATGCATGCAATTACTTAAAGCGACATTACCCATACAAATTTCACATCCATTAGACCTTAAAGGCATATTTAAACCTTAATGGACGTTTGTGCAACTGACCGTATCTCTGTAGAATACAAACCTAGGCATCTTCGAAATATTAAATTTTATAAGATTAATACTACAACATTCTGAAATCAAAATATAGACAATGTAAGAGTCGTTCATATGTTTCGGAATATGTCAAATGCTAATAAAAATCCACTACTTATTTTATTAAGGGAAGTAATATTTAACTTTTAATTACATAATATAAAAAAATACTCACCAATTTCGGATGCGAAGCGTTAAGTGTTGCGAATCATAATTTATAATAAATAAAATAACCTAAAGATCTATTTTTTTGCATTGTTGTTTGACTATATTAATCTTAATTCTACAAATATTAAACTAGAATATCACATTTTTTAGTCTTTTTCTGCTTCTTTGTTTATACTACTAGTCCCGTTACTACCTCAAACAAAAATGAGAAAAGGTATAGAACAACAAATGCAAGTGTAGCCTCCGCGATGGAATACATTTCCGTAGATAGTTTTCTATTTACGTCAAAGTTTAGAAATAGTTCAGTTTTGGTGAGAATAAATCTCTGTGGGCGTGCGTTCGTTACTGAGCCTTCACGAGTTCTGACCTCCTTCATAAAGTGCTGCTGGTGTGTCGTCATTAAGTTATCTGCTTATAACACTACCAATTTAAAAACCGACTAGACTCTGTATTTAATAACATAAAAAGACTAGTGTTTAAAATTATCGGTTAACGTAAACAAAACACACCCACAAAACAATACTTAATACTTGTCCTTATCAACTGTTCTTATGTATTATAAGTACAATGAGTCTTCAGTATCAGTGCATTCGATAATCTGATATTTATGTCTGCGACAAATTGAGTTATCATTTTGCAATGCGGATTCAAACGATACGCAATAATAAATCCACGAATTTAACAATAATATACGCTTCAATCTTTCAGTTCGCTATCTTTCGCTAATCATATCTAGATATACTATCAAGTGTTTGGTGGGCAGGTTCTTACCAACCTCAAAAAATTTCCACTGTGATTAAAAAATAATGTAGGTATTTTACTGTATTTATCCTCTTATTACTGCGTATAAAGTACAAAATAATTGTTGTTATGTTATTGTTTTTTACGCAAAGATAAACAAAACGTAAATAAAAATTGAAGTACAAATGTACTTAAGTGATTTTAACACTCATCCAAAATAACATAATACCATACCCGCAGATAGTTTTGAATATTTTAGTAATCCCTGACCCAACCACAGCTGTCACAATGACACGCCATTTTCTTTTTTTTTTTCAAATCAACACATCAATAATATTCCGTTTTTTCTAATACGAATTCAATGTTTCAATTCCAACATCATCATCACCAGCCTTTTGATTTCCCCATTGCTGGGGCTCTAGCCTTCCTTACGGATGGAATCGAATTGAATAGGAAGAATGTGCCTACCACGCGGCCCAATGCGGATTGGTGGCTGTTAATGACTGCAGATGCAACTGGGACCAACCATTTAACGTGCCTTCGGAAGCACGGAAGAGCCCGAAATAATAAAATTTTTGGCCCATCTTATTGTCGGCCCTTGAAAAAGTAACTTAAAAAACGTATCGCAGACCGAGCGCGTTAACCACTGCGCCATCGAAATTCTCGAGTCTCGATTCCATCGAGCTCCTCTTGTTTCGATTATATCGACCTCCATGAGTTTCGATTCCATAAGCCACTAATCAAAAAAAATTATAAGTTTTATAAGTCTTTCCTTTAATTTAACCACTTATTTAACCACAAGCCTTTGTGATTCAGGTGTTGATAAAAACTATCATATGTCGATTCTTAAGGTTCACTCTGTGTACCAAACATTTAGATTCATTTAGTTTATGCATGACATCTAACAGACACACACGCAACAGACTTACTGTCGCATTTATAATATTTTATGTAGTAAATGGGTTTTAAGGAACCCCACCAACACCCCACGTATAATAAATAAAAATATTATTTTTTTAAATGCATGAAAAAAGCTTTCTTCTTGATATCTCATCGTCATCGTCAACCCTTTTACATCCCCAATGCAGGGCTCAGGCCTTTATGTAAGGTGGTTAAGGAGGATATGCCATAAGCCATAACACCCTCCACACGGGCTCATACTACCCATAGAAGATTAAAACCTATAAGTATTAATAAAAAAAAACACGATTGGGTTAGTTCCTTAATCATAGTAGTGCATCTTGTTATGTCTTTCTCCACTTCATTTTAAACGTTGAGTGTGGGATAAAAAACTAATAACGAAAATTTTATGTTGCTATATATAACCTAACCCAATTACGAGCACATACCAATTCTATTCAACCTATACGTATTTTATTTGACCTCTGTTAAACTAGCTATTTTCTGGCGACTTTGCTCACATTAATTTACGTATAGGACCCGAGTAGTTCCAAGTAGGTCAAGTATGTAATTTATTTTTAATTACAGCATATTTAGACGTTTTGTCTTTGTAGGAAACCATAAAAAAATCTAGTGATTATAGCTTGAAATTTCTAATTAACCCACGCTTTATGTAACTTCCCAAAGTGAAAGAATTTTCAAGTTTGGGCATATTTCCGAAAATTTTAAAACTATATCTCTTTAATTTAATTTATAAACAAGTTCTATGCTTATAATTTTAGTCTTATAATATTAAATTAGCACAATAAGCATAAGTATAAACAGACCTACAGTTTCATTTATGTATATCAGAAAAGTTTCACATTTAGATTCAAATAACGATTAATCAGCACAATAATCAATGCATAAAACGTTATTTTTATATATCTAATACAAAATTGACTTTAAATGCAAATATTTGCAACATTGAAACAATGATACAATACAAATGTACCTACCATATCATTTTACTCGCTAGACATTATAAACTATAACCTGCAAATATAAAACCACAGAACAGCAACTACAATGAAAATTTTGCTTAGCCAAGCAATTATACGATTTGTTCCTTAATTTTTAGTTTGACAGACACGTTTTTTAGTTTTGAAATTACTTTTTAATAATTTATGATGTAACGAATTTAGAACCTGACTCAAACAAATAACCTTCACGGATATGAATTATAAGAATAATTCAAAATTTACCGAAGTTTTGTTCTAGAACAAACAGAATATGCCCGCAGGTATTACGTTAATTCGTACAAGTTATACTTATATAAGTATAAAAGTCTAGAAAAGATAAGAGTTTTTATTATCTGGGTATGTTTTTCAAATAAACATATTTTCAACCAAATATCATTGTTTTTATTATTCACGTCATTAGGTATTGGCGAATGTCATAAGATTAACAATAGGTACAAATCGATTAGATATAACCTACGACTTGTCCCGGTTCCGTTTGTCGCCCAAAAATATCACGATGTAACTACAAAAATTACAATAAAAGCGATTTTGAAGCGATTCATCCACAAACATTACACCCGACATTGCTCAAATATCAAGATAGGAGCTAAAGTGCTGTTTATGAAACAACGAAGACATCGTAATACCCAAGCTCAAGACAAT